CAAAGCTCCTTATGGTTCCTTAAAAGCTGAAAGAATTTTAACTAGATTTTCTGTATCTGAATAACACGAAAGAATGTTTTTGAAGACTGCTGTTCATTGCTTCATAATCCCTTTAACTGTGTTAAGACACTAAGATATTTTTTAAATAACAGTGTGTGTAATTTTGGGGAAAAAAGGATATCAATATGTGATTATTATGAAAATGAAGAGGCAGCTAGTAGGTATGGAATTTTTCCGAATCCTTGATGTGTTCAGTCTAGCATTACTAAATGACTGAAATCTAAATAACATTTGGCATTATAATAGAAGAAAATAACTGACTAAGCTAGCCTAAGAAGCAGTGATACCGCACCATAATAAGAAGTGTTTTTCTTCTAGCTGCAGCCTTTCTGCTCTGAAATTAGACTGAAGATACTGGGGATAATTAAAGAGATATACTTAATATACTTCCCGGACAGCAAAGCACAAAAGAATTAGGTTTAAGGACACACTTTCAGAAGACATATTTGACAAAAAACTTTACTCACGTGAGTAGCTGTTTTCAAGACTGGCCTCTCAGTGGGTATGTTCTTGGACTGAAATCCTTGAAACCTTCAATCCATTCTAATATTAACAGTGAAGATTTTAAGGTAATTTGAAAGCCTTGATGTAGAACCTATCTTGCAGACTCCCGTTGTGAGAAGAGAACCTCTGGACCATGCTGCCTGGATGGTTAATTTACTTTTTCTATATATCTACTTGTGTCTTTTCATTAGCTGTAATAGTTCTGCAGGCTTGGGATTATAATGGCAATGCTGTCCTTTTAATAAATTCGATGTAGCTACTGTTAAGTGCCCAGTAAATGGAAAACCAGCTGTTTTCAAGGAGCAGCAGAATAAGGGGAAAAAAATCTCTTTCATTTGGCAAAACAGTTATCCAAAGGTTATAAGAACTACTGTATATTACTCTGTGGTAAAGAAACATTTCCCTTTCTGTTCCTAAAACCATCTTATATCTCTAGTATCAGTTAGTAACTGTAAGACTGGTGTCAGGAATAACATATCCCAGCTGCATTTTAGAATGAATTGAGCTGGGACAAGGGGTCCTTGGAGCTTACTGAATGGGTGAGAGCTTTTAAAGGGAGAAATCAATACTACAGCAGGATTTAGACAACTTAGCAAAATACATCAGACAGAACTTTGGTCAAAGAATAACTACAACAGCTAGTTAACCCATGGAGTGCCTGAAGTACAGTCTATCGCATTTCACTTAAAGTCTTAGCTGAAAAGTAGAGCGTTACTCTAGCAGGGGACTGGAAGTATCCAGTATAGTAAAGCTTGCAAATCCATTTCCCTTAAAGGTCTCGTCCTCACATCTGTTATCCAAAATCTCTTTGACGGTAATTTTTCGCATTGGACCTCAGGTTAGACATGAGCAATTAAAGAACTGCTCAATTAAGTAAAGCTGCTCAAATGTAAAGAAAATTTACACTTTCTTCTGAGTTACTACTTACTGAAAGAGATACCTTTCTTATACGCAGAAGGAGTAAGCAATAATAAAAAGACTAAAAGTCTTTCTTGGGGAAAGTCTTGGCAGAGATTAATACCTGTACTTTGTTTGGGTGGAAGAGATTAGCATCTGAAAGGTCTGTCACTGCAAGTCTATTTGCTCAGGTCTTAGCAGCACATACTTTTAGTAACTGCATTTCCTGTGCATGGATTGACATCAGACACGAGGGCAGCTGCCCATAGACTAATGCTGGGTTTGTGTGAGGAAGACTATAACTTCCTTTTAACATGTCCTGTGAAGAAATGTCAGAAGCCAAAAGAAAAAAAAAAAAAACCAACAACTCACCAAGAAATGTCTCAGGCAGAAGTGGAGTGATTTTGGAGTCTCTGTAATATTCTGTTGATTCTAGATTTCCAGGTTTACACTTTAAAAATCTGGTTTTCCTACTGAAATGACACAGAAATAGTGAGAACCTGTAAAAAGACTAAGTAATTGGCCAGTAAAATGATGCTGTTACCAGTCCAATACTACAAGTAGGCTGTAGAGGAGAGTCGTTCCTTTCCCACCCCATCCATTTCAGTAAAGTGTGAATTTAAAAAGCCCAGTTGGAAGTATTCAAACGATAGCATGCATAGCAATTAAATTGTTTCTTTGGGTGCTTTCAAAACCAAGGAAATTAAAAACATAAAATTGCATTAACACCTCACTGAACACTGAACTTCCTTGCAGTGCTGCCCTCAAACAGAGCCAGGCTGTGGGAAATGATATTTCTTATAAAGTTTTAAAGCCCCATCCACCTTCAGTTAAGGTATGAGAGTTCCAAATTCGCTCATTTGGCATTCTTAGTGGCCCTCAGCAAAAATATACAGGAATGGAAATCTTTCCTTTAAGTATTTTCTCATTGTTTATGAATCCTATGCAAGTCATAAAATATGAAGAGTTCATTTTGCAGCTGGAATTAATACATTTGCTGAAGGGTTGTGGGGTTTTGACTGTTCCTGAATCTTCATGT